ATACAGTTCAAATAATGTATTTTCTTTTTTATACTCATCTAATATTAGTCACATGTGTGTAACATTCGGCTCATTTAAGTGTAACATTCTATATTACATTTTTTGAATGTTATACTCAAGCAAATTAAATGTTACACACATGTACAAATGATATTACACGAAAAAAGTTATATGTACTTGACTGGAGACTTAACACAATTTCTATTATTATTATTATTATTATGAAAGGCGGGGCGGGAAAACCCTCTTATTTTTAGTTTACATGAATTTGGTTTTATTGTTCAAGTTTTGAAGTAGTTTTAAATTTAATTGTTCTATTCAGATATGTCCTTAAAACTGTACAACCTAGAATTATTAATTGCTGGCATTTTAGCTGTTTATTGGTCTTTTCAGAAGTCAATTATTAATTTCCTACGACTTGCATTGGCATCTTTACGATACTAATAAATAGAAATATGTGGAGAACTACTTTCAAACTACCATAAATTGCCTTGTCCTCAGCCCTTCAAATTCCATTAATTAACATTGATACCTGGAAAAGGGACTGTTTCATAAATCATAAGTACATAAGGGCTGGTCATTAATATCGTATTTATAATTTTCCCTGCGTAATGTATTAAGTTGTACACCTAAAAATTATTGCTTCATAAACGGTGTTCATTGCAACTTGCGTCGTGGATTTCATGCAAATTTCTCAAACCGAACAAGTCAAGAACTTTCAACGCGTACGTTTACTTTTTGTAGTATACTAAATATATATATATATATATATATATATAAATGCGAAAAGGCACTTTCTCTAATTTATTTTTGGGACAATTCCATGTTTGTAACAGTTTAAGCTTTTGTCGAATTGGTAAATTAATATAGTATGTGTTTGTAGAAAGTTGTATTTACTAATAATTAAAAAGATAAAAAATGTATAATTGACACGTAGTTAGAATTAAAGTTAAGTGTACCTAACACTATTGTATCGCTTATAAACAAATACACATTAATATACATGTCGTTTTTATTCCCTGCCAAACATTGTCGTTTTAATCAATATTGTTTAATTCTTGCCAGAAGCTTTTTTGCTGTTCTCTTTTACGTCGTTTCTCTATGTTCTTACCCCTAAAAACGGCACGTTGCTTTTTAAACAGAAATTGCCATATTTATACCTTTTTTTTTTCTTTTTCATAAACGACCAACAAAAGAATGGGGCCATTTTTGTAGAGAAAAAACTATGGGGATCTAATTAATTCCTTTGGAAATAATGACCGCTTGTTGTTTTCTTAACCATAAAAAACGACATGATTTTGTATAGCATAAACGATATGTAGTTTGACTGAGAAACGACTACTTCGTTTTTTTTTTTTGGTGAATTACTTGTGTTTTTTCTTGATGTCGTTTTTTAGAACAAAAAACGACACGTATTCTTTTCGTTGAATAAAAAGAATATGTTACAAACTTCGAATTCGATGTTGGGTATGTTGAATGTTGATCAATAATGTATCTCCCCGAAAATCTTCAAGCAAAATCGTTGTTGGAGAATAATTTGGTACGTAAGAAAACGTATTATGTTATTATAGTCTATATCCAATGTTAATGTGATGCGAATTTATTAAAAACTGCAGGTAATATTCTCATAGTTTATTACGCTGTGCTGCACAAATAAATGGAAGCAAAAAACAAATATTAAAACGATAAAGAAGCATCCAAACGACAAAAAAAAATGCAATATGAAAGAACGGCAACAAATGAAAAGGAAAAAAGAAAGAGAAGAAAATGTGCGAAGAACGTCCCAATTCCCAACTGTCGAATGCACGGATCCGGCATGGAGAGTTTTGTGTTAGTTTATCAATCCATCCTAAAAGCTTAAGCTATTAGGGATAACACTAGTTTTATACCTTAATATTTTGCTTATACGTTGCTATATTTTTTTGGTTCCTCTACATCTTGTTTTCTTACTTTGTTTTCTTGTTTTTCATCTAGTTGTTTTCTTCAACGGCCTCTTGATATTAAGATCTTTATGTCTTTATTCTTTTTTCAGGCAGTTAAATGAATTTTATTTGTTGTTTTTTTAATATCACATGATTTATTCTTACGTACTCTTCGGATAAAAAAGACATTATTTGATTGGATTTCTTTCCACCATATCTTTTAATACTTTCTTTCTTCTCAAAAAAAAAAAAAAAAAGTCTGAAGAACAGGACAACAGGATAACGTGTCAAGGGATGCTGATAACGAGAAAAACTACATCAAATCAGGAAAATAAGAAATGAAAAACGACCACGAGTCTAGAGCGACAGTAAAAGAACCAGAGTCTTAAAAATGACAAGAAAACAGAAAACAACAGATGAAATGAGAATTATAAAAACGGACAAGAAACAACAACGAATTAAACCAACAACTAAGTTTGAAAAACGATTCAGTCAAAAAAAAAAAAGAACAAAAAGAAATAGTATAAAAGACGACGAAGGTTAGTGAGAAGGAAAAAACAACGATAAATAATGAAACAAAATAGCAGAAAAATAAAACGACAGTAAACGTCAATAGCAGGGGAAAAAAACTACAAACAATGACAAAGAAGATAACAAAAGAAAAACGGCAACGGACTGTAAAATTACAAGCAGATAAAAACGACAACTACTGTAAAACGGCAATAAGGATAAAAAGAGGACGACAAGAAATGAAGAAAAAAAAATAAAGAAACTAAAATTAAGAAAGAAAGAAGAGCCTTGATGAGAAACGTTAAGAGATTAAAAAAACAAAAACAAAATTAACGACGACTAATAGAAAACGACAAAGAACTCTACAATGGAATGAATCGTGAAAACAACAGATTTAAAAAAAAAAAAAAAAAACAACAACAAAACAAAACAAAAAGGATTGAAAAAAGACGACAAAAAAAGAAAAAAAAAAAAAACCAACCTTGTTTAAAACGTCAATGCTAAAAATAATGCCACAAACAAGAAAAAACATAAACCACAATGACGATATTAGCAAAATGACGACATCAATTTGAAAACGACACTAGAAGATAAAAACGACAATGTACTTAAAACGGCAATATGAAACATTAAAAGCGACATCTCTCCTGTCTCTGGCCAAATATTACATGAAGTTTGGGAAAACTACCATATTCAGAGTCATTTTACCCTAGTAGGAAGAGGAAAAGATAATGTGAGAAAAACTATTGAAGCTGATTAGTTATCCACGATCTGGATTTTAAACAAAAATTTAATGCCGTTTTGTTTAGAGGAGAAATGACTCGTCCTATGATGTCGCTTGGTCTTCGTAATGACATGTCGTTTATATTCAACACAACTGTTGAAACATCTTCAAAGTTCAAATAACATGTTATGTTATATTTTGTCTAGATTAGAACGAGATGGTGAAAGAGAAAAATGAACGTATTTTCATATAGCAATGGCTAGTAATTTTTAAGGATAGCTATCTTAATAGCACTAAATACTGGTAATTGGAACCATTATCAAACATATCCTTATAGCTTAAATAAGATTATGCATGCCAAACAAAACACGAAGTCAGTGAGAGCATAAAATCTAGGATAAATTTTATTTTTTACTCTCTAAACTTTAGTCTTGTTATCACTTTATTCTTGAACTTTGAAAATTAGTATGCACACCTTTTAAACTTTGAAACGTTATTAATTTTACCCCTTCTGTTAATTTTATTAACGGATTTAATGACAAGGCAATTATTAGAAAGGTAGTTTAATAGATTATTTTCATAAATATTCCTTGAAGTATGTACCATATTTAAAAATGTCTCCTGATCTATTAAAACAAATCAAAATACCCCCTAATCTATAGAAAACATAATAAAATAATGCCATTAAAAATTAATTAAACATATTAAATTCAAATTAAATCAAGAAAAGTGATTAAATATTTAAAAATAATATAAAAAGCTTGAATTTAAAAATTGAAAAATTAAACAAATCAATTTTTTTTTCAAAAATCAAAACAAAAAAGAGGAAATTTTTTCAAAATTAAATAAATATTGACAAAAAGAAAGTAAATTTTTAATATTTAATCACTTTCATTGATTTCATATGAATTTAATATGTGTAATTAATTTTTAATGGCATCAATAAAATTATTATTTTATCTTTTTCATATATAAATTAAAAGTCATTTTGATATGTTTTTATAGATCTGTTAATAAACTTAACAGAAATTAATAATGTTTTAAAATTTAAAGAGTGTACCAATTAATGTTTAAAATTTAAGAGACAAAATGCTAAATGGATTAAAGTTTGAAAGGCAAAAATAAAATTTATTTATTTTTACTTACTACAGGCAGTTTCCATTATGGCACAAAATTGGCACTTATGAACACGAAATTAACGTACGTACAAAACCATACTTTTTCCGGGAATTATGGCACAAAGTACGTAATTATGACAAGCAAGAGAAAGAGAGAGAGAGAGAGAGACTACGTAATTATGACAAGCAAGAGAAAGAGAGAGAGAGAGAGAGAGACTACGTAATTATGACAAGCAAGTAACAATAGAGAGAGAGAGAGAGAGAGAGAGAGAGAGAGGTTAGAAGGAGCAGAGGCTAACTTTGTCTTTGTCGTGATGTGTTAAAGAATATTAAAGAGACGTGAAATTCGTGTTATGATTCTCACAAAACCATACTTTTTCCGGAAATTACGGCACAAAGTACGTAATTATGACAAGCAAGTAACAACGGAGAGAGAGAGACTCCGAGTCCGATTGGTACGTAAATTTATTTTCTAATTCGAATCATAATTCATAATAATTCGTTACAATATTTTTTTTTATAAAAAATATACATAAATTAAAAATAATTCTAATCACATAATTTAAATTCATAAACTAAACACCACTTACGTAATAATGACAAGCAAGTAACAATATAGAGAGAAAGAGAGAGAGAGAGTACGTATTTATGACAAGCAAGTAACAATAGAGAGAGCAAGTAACAATGGAGAGAGAGAGAGAGAGAGAGAGATGATAGAAGGAGCAGAGGGTAACTTTGTCTTTGTCGTGATGTGTTAAAGAATATTAAAAGATTCCAAAGTTTCCAAGTTTCAACAATTGTTGACAAGGGCAAAAAACCACCCAAAAATAATGCTTCCCCCGCAGTTTACACACATAACGGCAATTTCCCAAGTTCACTGCAGTTCCTCCCTATACAACCTTCTGTCAAGGCCTTTCTTATGCATGTAGAATTGTTTTGGGGGGTGAGACCAATAATGCCTAGTGAAAGCAAAACTCCTACGAATTTCTAACACTTCTAATCGTAACCGAAAAAAATAATAATAATAATAATAATAATAAGAAAGATCAAACATCAATAAGAACGGTTCCCAATTCATTATCAGAACATGGCCAGATTTAACCTTGTGTTATGTTATGATATGATATGCCTATGTCTTTTTTGTTAATGCAGCTATTTCCTTGTCCTGTTGTTTCTTCAGATACCTCTGAGCAGTTGCATTCACAATCTTCACAAAGAAGTTCATGAGCATGAGCCACACAACCGTGCTCCAAACCGAAGCGAATGAGAAATCCCACTTTTTCACCTGATGAGGGGTTTTAGAAAACAGTGAAATCAGTACCGGAAAAAACCAAATGGAATGCACCTCAGCGGTTTACGGGGTTACCTTGCTATCTGAGGATACGGGTGCGGATGTGAGATATTTTTCTTTCACAGCGTCAAGTTTGGCGGTGAGGTTGGGGAGCGCAGATGCTAAACCCGGGATGAAACTCAGAACCCAAATTAATTCGTTCTCTATCCAATTAAGAAGTTGATTATTGCAAACAGCAATAATGAAAACCGTCTACAGAGGGAGAAATACAAAGCAAATGAAGAAGGGGGAAAAAAAGGTCAAAAGATACCTTGCAAAGTTGATGAACACTTTACAGAATAAGCAGAAAAGTAAAAATTAGATTAGCTTAGAGAAACAAATCTAAGATGAGCTTCTATTAAGGTCAAGGCATTAAAAAAGATGGGATAAACTGACTGAGAAAGTGACTTGACAAACCTGTATGTGCGTCTTAATAATTGCCTTCCCAATAAGTGTTGAAAGGAAAAACTTCCAAAATGGAATTCCAAATTGTCCACACATGATGCCAGCAAGATCAAATAGAGGATTTGGAATCTGCAAAAAAAAAAATAAAAACGGGTAGGATGAAATGGAGATAATAATCTATATGATTTGAAATAAGCAGAAAATTCGTTTTCAAGTACACTAGATAAGTTTTTCTAACAATGTATGGTCCCCTCCTCTAAGGTGCTTTATGACGATAATGGGAAGGCATTAAAAAGGATTTTTTTTTTTTTTTTAATGAAATGGAAGGAATTTAAAAGTTGGACCTAAAGTGAATGACACCATCGTGACATATGCATCACTTTCCACTTTTCAACGCTGAAGCATTTCCCTCATATGCAGGACATTCGGTTCTTTATTGGCACGCAATAGGCCATAGGGATGGTCCAAACATGAAAAGACCATAACTCTAGCCACGCAGAATAAGCAAGCAATGGTTAAACATTATTGATTATTACCAAGGAAAAAGCAGAGAAAGTGCTACTACTTGAGCAACTAGATCAACGAGAGACGTGATTAAGTTGCCAGAACAAGAAAATATGCAAATATCTTTCAAAGACACGTTCATAGCCGTTTTCTTTCAACACAAAACTTAATTTCTCAAAACTACCTAAAAGGTCAAGAAGGGTTTGTGTCTAAAACCTGCCAAGGAATGGTAATCCAGACTAAAATATATTTAATTAAAATGACGTTTAGAAATGAAGCAGGAAGAGACTGAAACTAACCGAAGCTAGTATTAAGATTGTAATGAAGTTCAAATGCTGTGAGTGTGACAAAAGCCAGCGCCTGATATTTCTCATGTGAGTAGCCCAAAATCCATTATCCTCATTTGAGGAGTCATCTAAATCTTCCATGGCATCCACTCTGTTACCCGATATGCTTGCTTCATAGAGTAGTAAATCAAATAAGAGATGGACATTGTCATAAAGGTCTTGTGATTTCAAGTTATTGTATGAAGGAAAAAAATCTGTTCCAGACAAGAGATCACAATTTGTATATACTACCAAATAAAAACATTACAGATCTTAATTAGAAACAAGCGAAAAATCCTTGAAAGGTTCCACCTAAACACATAGAAGTTTTTCAAAAGGACTGCAATATTTCCAGAATGAAATGAGTTGGATGAAGTTTCCCTTCTATGCCGAGTTACAATTAACCTCTATTTCTCTCTAAAATAAGGCATCTGAAGTTCCAAAAAGCAAAAAAATTGTTCTGCAAACTAGTAAACCACCTATGTGAAAAATATGACAATAATAACAGATTTCAGGAGGATGAAAACATATAGTTTCTTCTGCATACCTGCCCTTGATAAAAAATACGGAGGAAGCTCTCCTATCGCTGTCCCAACACCCCATAGAATAGCCTCAACCTGAACCTGTGGCAATATGCTGCTAAGTGGTACCCGCAAACCGTGTACTAATGGAAACAAAGGTGGTCCAAATTCAGAACAGTCTTTATCAAGCCATGAAGGACCTCTTTTCAACTGTATTGTATCATATGGAGCACTTTTTAAATCAACTCGGCCACACTTCATTGCTTTTATGGTGAAGAGAGCAATATGAGGGCCAAGGTATAGGACAAAAGTATGCAACCCAGACCCTGAGGAAAGCAAGAAAGATTATGTTATTGTTAGGATCCTAGTCTCTATAGCTAAGATTTACCAACAATTATTAGACTGTGAATCTGCTGATAGCCTTTTATTGAATGCAAATCATTACCATAACAACTATGAGCTCTTATGAAGCTCTGATATTCAACAAGAAAGGAAAAGTTACAGAAATAAAGATAGATAGAGGGGTTTTCGAGGAACCCCACAACCTCCCAGCTATCAGCTCAAGCACAAGATTCACAGTGCCCTCCCTACTGCTTCGATACTCCCCAAATACCCTCCAATTCTCTAACCAACTTTGCACGTCAAACTCAGATCCCCAGATGGGCCTTCCTCGCTCACCAAGCCCACTATCTTAGACTGACCCCCATCCTCTGGGCCTGGGCCCACAACATTACCTCTCTTGGCCCTCCTAGCATAGACTTACCGCACTGGAGGTCTAACAGTTACATTCCAGTGATGAGATACTAAGGCGATTAGAAAAGAATTACTAGACCATCTAAGAGTTTCATTACAAAAGGGCAAGTCTAATGCTTTAAAATAGAGAAAGAAATTGTGCACAATGTTTGTAGTCCAAAATTATCTGTTATAAGACAGAAATCACTACAAAACTAAATATTTTCATCGTCATGAATACAATATACAGACAATAATTCACACTTGTAATCTACATAAATAATGCTTACCTAGACCAATTGACGATGCAACTCCAAGGGCCATCCACCATAATCCAAACCGAAAATACTTAACAAGCTCCTCCACGTGCTGCAAAACAAGTTATAAGTAGAATTCACTATTGGAAAGTAGTAGTTATACAATTTGACAATAAAATACCAAGATTGAATAGAAATTTAACCATCACCATGAAAAGGAAATTATAATAATGTGTATGAAATTGTTCATCCTTGTCATAGGGCTAAAAGCTTTAAGCTTCTTTTTATGTTTCTTACAAATAAAAACAAGTATAAGATTTATGCTTGCGTCTATCCATGTAGTGATCCTACAAGCATAAAAGCAATAAAAAGCTGTAGGAAATGAAATGTTGGGTCATAAGAAAGTTATAATCTTTCATGATGTCATATCACAGATGGATCCTTTCGAAGGTTACGAATTTAATCTCAGTAGGACCATACTAAATTTGCAAACAAAATTTATTTAGTAACATACCTTCTCATGGGGGCCATCAATGGTCACAAGAAGAACTCCAACAGCCAAAGCTAGAGTACTCAATAGCATAAGCCAACCACCTTTTGCCAATAAATAGAATATCGAACGCTTAATATAAAGGAAAACAGCCAAAACAAAAAACTTCAAAGTTTTGAATGGTTGTGTTGCTAGTGTCAAATTTTCTAGATCTTGCTGATGTTTCTCCTGGAGCCCTGCAAAATAAAATATCTCTATCAGCTAATAGCATTCAATAACACTCTTTAGCTTGTTTCAAAGGTCTAAAACTTCTCTTTCCTTTTTTTTTTTGTTTATTTATTTATTTTTTTGTTGGAAATACCAACATCTAAAACAGAAGAACCCAAATGGCTTGTTAATTTATAGCCAATTGTCGTCACACCAAAGTTCACAATTCATAACCATATTCAACCGAGCAAAAACTCATCATCAACTAGAGAAGGAACACGCCAAACCAATAAAAATGCATCCAACAAAAGAAAAAGAAAAAAGACGCCCAATTGGTGAAAATATTTCAGGCTTCCAAGTATCATAATCAATTAATCTTCAAAATTTTCAACAAAAGCTCTCCTTTGCACAACGGTTGAGACCCATCTAAGCAATAAACAGTTACTGCTTATACCCAATTCCCAACTAAGCAAATTCTGATTAAAAAAATTGAAAGATTCGATTTTTACACCCCCAAAAAAGTAAGCCCATTTTCAATATTAGTCTAAACAATCAAAATCCCATTAACAGAAAGAACAATAACGACGATTCAGAAAGCCAAAATTTCAAGATATTAGAGAAAAACAAATCTGGGTTTTCACGTTTAGGGATTACATTTCACATTATCCATAAGAAATAAATAAACAAAAATAAATTAAATAAAAAATTGAAGAACTCGCCTGATATCGACATGTCAGTAGTAGATGAAGATGAAGAAGGTGTTCGTCTTCGGGAACCCATTAAACGAAGATCACAACCTCTCTCTATTGTTCATGAATGAAACGAATTCAATATATAAATATATATATATATATATATATATGTAGGTATGTATGTATGTATGTATAAATTTCTCAACAAAATGAGCATACGAGTATTATGAAATATAGATCGATGCAGATCAATACGTTGAAGTTAGAACCAAAAATTCGAAAGCAAATTTCAGATCTGAAATTACGAAACTGAGAGAACAACCCCTCTTCAGAAGTTAGCGTGAAGGATGGGTCTCTCTCTCTCTCTCTCTCTCAAAGAGCCCAATATAGAGTCATTTCTATTGTTTATTAATTATTGTTTTTATTTTTATTTTTAAATGGATTAATTTTGTTATAACATTTTTCTAAAAACATTTCTTGGTTTTTTAGTGTTATTTGTTAAGGTAATTGTTTTAGTATTGCTATATATTTGTTTATTTTTTGTGAAAAACTTTTAAGAGTCAGGAAAATAGTGAAAGTCCTTTTAAAAAAAAAAATTACAAAGAATAATGAAAAGTTACTTTAATTCTAGCAAGCTTTTTTTCCCCTTTTTTCGAAGGTAGTTAACTTAATTTTTTCTTTTGGCAAATGATTCTTTACAATGTTACGGAGGATTCCCCTATATAATAATAAGGAAAAAAAATAGTTCTTACCAAGTACCAAGGATTCCAATTTAAAATTTGAAAATATCAAATGAAAATATTTTCTTATAATTTATATGTTCATATGATTACAACTATTTTTTGGGGTATTACTATTGAATATGAAAAATATATATCCATTCCACTGATGGGTAGTCATGATACTAATGCATTATTTGCATGCCTGATAATCTACTGAAAAGACAAAGAAAGAAAAAAAAAAGATTATAGGGGTCACTAACTTTTTGTTTTTTCTTTTGTTTTGTTTTTGTTTTGTTTTTTTGTTTTTTTGTTTTTGTTTTTTTTTTTGAGAATGAGGGTTTACTACGTTCTACTCAAATTGCAATTATATTATTTCATTTGAGAAGAAAATAAAATTAAATAGCTTTAAAAATTAAATAAATGAGATCCATTTTGTTTAGAACAAAAACGTGCATAACCATGATCATTATTTGTTAAAAAATGCCTCACAGGGGCATTAGAATTTTATACAATTAATGCATCTATACTCTAAACAAAAGTTCTCAATTGTCTATCAAATTAAGGGTCCCTCAAAAAATAATTTTATAAAAAACTATCAATATTAAGGGTCAACGTGCAATTATAGTTTCCAAAAGAGTAAAAGAAATCAAAAGTCATTTTCTAGCACCATTATTAATGTTGGGTTTGTGGGTCAATAACAAAACTAAAAATGAAAATAAAAATTTTAAAAAGAACATCATCAATTTCAAGCTAATCAAAACACCAAGCAATTTTCCTTTTAAGTTTGATCTCTTTCCCCTCACTATGCTACAATTGTAAATTTTGGTCTTCTCAATCGAGTAATCCAATCCTTTATTATTTTCTTTTTCTTTTTCTTTTTTGTGTTTTTCCTCAATTAAAAGTGATTGTCGATTATTCCTTAAAAAATAAAAATAATAAATTAGTGGCGGTCATTGGTCAATGGCTTCTACCTTTCGGCAAGCCAAGGGTGCTTGAGTATATTCCAAAGCACATTTGGCATATAAATGCAGTTAGTATAGTTTGGATCAGAAGAAACCAGTCAAATGTAAGATAACATTATTTTTGCTCAACATATATTATTTGCTGCTAAAATACTCATTTGAAATTGAAGCTTAGAGGGAATACATATAAATAAATATAAATTTATGTTTTCTTTTTCAGTATAGCTGAAAAAATATATATAAATAAACATATGATTTTCAGGTTTGTCACATGGACTGCACTTTCTGTAATTACATAATATATCCCCGTTCTATTGGCTTATTAAATGATTAAATTAAATAAAAGAAATAAATCCTAGCATTATTGATAATATGTATATGTTATATCCTATTATTTCAGTTATTTTGTTTTTTTTTTATATATATTCCCTAAATTAAAAATTTGAAAACCAGGTTGAATGGCTGGCCAATCAGTGACTATTATTGCGATGACGCATGTGCTATGGATCTGCAAGAACAAGACAACACAGTTCTCTATATATGTTTTTCCTTTTTTTTTTTAAATTTAAAAGAACTTAAATCTATGTCTATCTTGTGCAATAATTATAATATATCTCCTGGCTTTCAAAATCCTATAAAAAAAAACAAATACACATGGAAAGACATTTCTTTTGGTAGTTAATTATAGTTATAGTTGGGTTGGAAGTTGGAAACTACGAAGCATTTGTAATATTATATATAAACACATACCAAAAAACACATGTATCCGATCTTATTTTATTTAGTTTATAGATATCTCTAAGAATTCTAACGTATAAATAATAAAGAAACATACTCGTGGCAGACAATTTGCAAATGCTGACAATACACCCTTCAAATTTATAAATTTTAAAGAGTCAAAGGAAGGGGTGATAAGCCACAAATTCTCTACACATAGTGAGAAAAGGAGATCCTGCATACAAAAAAAAAAAAATGATACCATAATTTAGGCTTGTTGTTAGACTTGACCCGCATAACGATACAAATTGGGTTGAACGGGGTCTAGGTTTTTATTGTTTGTAATTGATACGATTTATGAATTCAACATAGGTCCAAAGCTCTTGTTTGGTGTAAGATTTTCATTTCAAATTTCTAAAGGGTAAATTTCAATAATAGCACTTCTGAATAAATTATTATTAATTTTAGCACTACTTTTGTATACTTTCACAGTTAGCGTCGTCATGTTAGCAGTATGAGGGTAAAATGACTTCTATGCTACTTAGGTCAAAATTATCATTTAAAAGCACTTCAAAAAGACTTTCAACTCTCTCCCGCCCATTCTCTCTCTCTTTCTATACCTCATTTTCGTCTCTATCTCTCTACACCTCATTTTCGTCTCTATCTCTCTACACCATATTTTCATCTCTCTCTCTCTACACCCCATTTTCGTCTCTCTCTCTACACCCTATTTTCGTCTCTCTCTCTCTCTCTCTCTCTCTCTCTCTCTCTCTCTCTCTCTCTCTCTCTCTCTCTCTCTCTCTCTCTCTCTCTCTCTCTCTCTCTCTCTCTCTCTCTCTCTCTCTCTCTCTCTCTCTCTCTCTCTCTCTCTCTCTCTCTCTCTCTCTCTCTCTCTCTCTCTCTCTCTCTCTCTCTCTCTCTCTCTCTCTCTCTCTCTCTCTCTCTCTCTCTCTCTCTCTCTCTCTCTCTCTCTCTCTCTCAAGTTTGGCCTCTTTCTATACTCGGTCTCTCTCTTCCCCACACCCTCATTCCCTCATCGCCAATACTCCGGTTGTGCACCAGATTGAGGTTGGTATACAATTTGTTTTTGTTTTTCTTTTATTTTTGTCTTTTTAAATTTATTTTTCGGGAGACTTAGTATATAGAACTCGAAAAAAATGACTGGGTTGAACTTAATGTGATAGGAATTGAAAATATCCTTCGTCAATTTGAGATTTTTGATGGTTTATAACTGATATGTAAACTAATTGTAACGACCAACACGTCAAAGACATAGTTGACCTTGGGAGTCATAGTATTATGACTCATAATGTAATATGTTCGGTCATAATACTATGACCAGTCAGTCATTACAATATGAGTCATTATCTATGAGCCAAATTATAACAGTATGAGTCAAAATGGTTAGTCATAGTCCAGTCATAGTATTATGACCAGCCATAAGACAATCATAGTGATATGACCGTCCGGTCATAATATTATGACTGAAATGACCCATAGTGTTATGACTAGCACACTATGACTGCCTTATGACCGGTCATTATACAGTGTTATGACTAGTCATTTCTAATGACTTGATGATGACTAAGAGTAATTGCATATTGATTAACAACTATTATTTTTAAATTATTTAGGAATGTCTGTTGGATTGAGCGTCTTCATCAAGTACAATGGACATTGGGACCGTGCTTCTAGATACGTTGGTTGTGAAATGAAGGGGATATTGGTCTCCACCAACACAACTTATATTGGTCTTATAGATTTGGTGAGAAATGTGCTTGGGATTCAGCCACAAGGATAGTTTATCCTTAAGATATGTCGTGGGTTCGTCGGTGCTCATGGTGGTAGACGGTGGTGGTCGTTGGGATTTCTTGATCTCTGTGCATACCCACGTTCTTTCTCCTCCTCATCTCTCTACTTTGAATATTTGAATTTTATAAGGCTTCAAAATATATTCAAGGCTTCAAAAATGAAATGAGGCACAATTGTCATTTTAACTCAAGTAAAATCGGTCTGGTCCTACTTTTGTTAACATGTCAATGCTAATTGTGAAAGTACACAAAAATAGTACTAAAAATAATAATAATTTATTCATGAATGCTATTATTGAAATTTATCCAAAAAGGAAATGGTGATAAGCCGTAAAATCTCTACACATAGTGAGAAAAAGAGATCTTGCAGATAAAAGAAACTGATACCATAATTTGAGCTCGTTGTTGGACTTGACTTACATAACGATACAAATCGGGTTGAGCCGGGTCTAGATTTTTGTTGTTTGTAATTGATACGATTTATGAATTCAACATAGGTCCAAAGCTCTTGTTTGGTGTAAGATTTTCATTTTTCTTATGAGCGGTTAGAACTTTTGCTTGTCGATTATCGATTGTTCCACAAAAATTCAACTCTATTGTCCTTGGTTATTCAAAAATTCCACGGAATGCCAACGAAATCATGCAAGTCTTTGCTATATTCCTCACCCGTCTTTCTAATTGCTTCATCGACTAGCTGTAGTTAAGGCCAACTTGTTAAGAACAATTTTCAAACTACAAGTAAGAAAAAGGACAAGGAAAAAAAAAAAAAAGCTTATTTTTATTTTTATTTCTTTTCCTTGAGCGAGGAGTGACACAACTAGCTCTCCCCCGCCATCAACATTGTCCTCCATAATCTCTGCTCTTCCCACCCACGTTACCATGGGGTGAGCCAGGTTGGCGCCAATGCTATCAACTCACTATAGAGGTTTTTTTTTTTTTTTTTTTTTTTTTTTTTTTTTTTTTTTTTTTGTGTATTATTTCCGTAAGTATCACCGGTAGCACTATAGATTACCGTTGATAATGTAGTAGACTACGATTAGTAAGAATACCTCCAGTCACATGTTAGACTGCCTTCAATAACACAGCATTTTACCATCAGTAACACTGCAGACTATCACCGGCTCGGACGTAGGCTATGACTGCAGTAACGATTT